AGATGAGGTAAATATTATTATAAGTGAATGTCAAACAGGTTTTCTAAAAGGTCACCACATAACTAATAATATTAGGCCAGTGCTTGATCTCTTAGATTATGCTGATTATGGAGATGATGAAGCTGTTATCCTTTGTTTAGATTTCTTTAAAGCATTTGACTCTGTTGAACACAGTTTTTTTATTTTTTTAACTGTAGAGTGTTTTGGTTTTGGGAATAAATTTCTAAAAGTCATGAAAATGTTTTACACCGACATCAATAGTTCTGTAATCATAAATACTTCTACAACTACGAGATTTAACATTTGTCGTGGAGTACGTCAAGGTTGCCCAATTTCCCCATTTTTATTTGTATTAGTTGTTGAATTATTGGCAATTGGTTTTATCAATAGTGAGCAAATTCAAGGTGTCAAAATCTTTGATAGAGTTTTTAAGTTTTCTCAATCAGCAGATGACTCGACCTTATTCTTCAAACACGCTTCTGTTATCCCTGATGCTATTTCTTTAAGCAATACTTTTTCAAAGGCTTCAGGTTTAACTTGAAATCTTTCCAAATGTGAAATTCTGCCTTTACACAGTTTAAAGAATAAACAACAATGAACATCCCAGTGAAATCCTCTGTCAAATACCTTAGAAATATTGTTACAAAAATACACTTAACAGACAAGACTTAAATGTTTCTTCTAGAATAAAGAAAACAAAAGCCGTGTTAAATTGCTGGTTACAGCGTGATCTTTCCATTTGTGGTGGTGTCTTGTTATGTAAAGCTGAAGGTTTATCTCCGTTTGTTTATCCCGCCTTGTCTTTATTTCTTAAAGACTCTAATTGCAAAGATATCAATAACTTGTTCTTTTCTTTTATTTGGAAAAACAAGTCCCAAAGTATATAAAAAAAAGAGTTCTTACTAATAAGAAAGCTGAAGGAGGACTAGAAATGCTTTATTTTGAAGATATCAATAAGACCTTCAGGATCAATTGGATTAAGAGATGTCTATCTACCCCCAATTCCTTTTGGAATCATTCATTCATTCATTTTCTTGTCGGCCTTGTCTCTTTATTAATCTGGGGTTGCCACAGCGGAATGAACCGCCAACTTATCCAGCAAGTTTTTACACAATGGATGCCCTTCCAGGCACAACCCATCTCTGGGAAACATCCACACACACATTCACACACACACTACTTTCACTAAATTCCATCAACAAGCTCTTCTTGCTTGGAAAATCTGTTACTGTCACAATGTTTCTCCTTTATTTGGAATAATGGTAATATAAGCTCTTCAAATACATCTTGATTCTTAGTAAATTGGTTTAATAGAGACATTAATCCTCTTTTAACACTGTTTGACAGTGCAGGGAATATCCTATCCTAATAAACATTTCATGTCTACTCACAATTTCCCAATATTGTTTGAGAATTGAATTAAATATATCCCTGTAAAAATGATTCAACTTGTTAAAAATCATATTTGCTATAATCTGCTGTAAACCCAAAACTACATTTAGAAGGTGTTGAGTTGACTGATAATAAATGTACTAACAGACATATTCGTAATATTTTTTCAGAAGCAAAATAAAATCACTCCTAGAGGCACATTTCTCTGGAACTCTATTATAGTTAATATTAATTGGAAAAAGCCTGGTTAACTCCCTTCAAATATTCTATTAATAATAAAATGAAGGAAATCCATTTTAAAATATTACATCAAATTTACCCAGTAAAATCTTTTTTATCAAAGCGCATTGAAATGGAGGATATCTGTGGATGAAGAGAGCCTTTGCCTTTTGTTTTTTGAATGCAACATTGCAAAGAATTTCTGGAAAAATCAGCCAAATATATTTGTGAAAGGACAAAACTTAGTTATTATTTTACATTAAAATATGTAATTTTTCATTATGAAAATAAATGTAACAAATGTCTTGAATATATTTTTAACCTCTTTATTTTATTGGCAAAGTTTTACATACACAAACAGAAATCTGCTAAATCTTCTCCCACATTAACTGAGTTTTTTTTTTTTTCTACAGTGAAATTGTTAAAAAAAAAAACATAAAATCTGAGATATGCATCAAATATTATGACACTTTTTATAAATTCTCTGTCAATTACTAAAATCATCAGATGTAGAAATGCTGCACACTTTTCTTTTGTGTAATTTAATTTATTTTAATTTATTTATCTGTTTTGTCTATCTGTTTTATCTATTTGTTTTGTTTTTTGTTGACTTTTACCATTGTTGTATTATTTTTTTGTGTGTTTCATTATTTGTGTTGTGTTGTGTGTTTGTTCCTGACAGTTATGCAATTAAAAACAAACAAAAAAGGTCACAGTGCAGTTAAACAACGCCTACTATCTGCAGCTCTAGACCACCCCCTAGCGGACACTCCAAGTCATTTTCTCAGGCAGTTATTCAATACAAAGAGCAACACATCGTTGTGTAAATCATATCCATTTAACTCTTCTTTGTATATATTTATTTTTAATGATTCCAATTTATTTAACAGTATATTTTAATGATCATATTGATCTTTAAACCACTACAGAGACACGATGCTTTCATCTGCAGTTACACACGAGAGGATTATCAGTGCAGCGACACAACAGAACAACTCCTGATCCTCTCAATGCCTGAGCTGTTCTCATCAGAGCAGTCACACATGGGGAATATAACACAAGCTGTGCTAGACTTCATGAAGAAAGATTAGAGTGTATAGATTAGAGTATATATGGGAAAGCAGTCATTTTATTTTCTACAAATCTACATTGAGCTCTGTGACACTGATTTGACCAAACTGTACACATATTATTATTATCATACACTCTCTAGTACAGCAGGTGGCGGTATTCAGCTTTACGCTGCTTTCTATAACTCGCCACACAAGAAGAAGAAGAAGAGGAGGAGGCGGCGGAGGATGTCCGGGTATGTGTTTGTTCTGTCTTCTCTGTGTCCAGTGTTTATACTGCTTCAGGTAAAATCACCCTAGTAAAATGTAACTCCGCAGGTGCTTTGATAACCCTGCAGCTGTTTGACTCTTCTCTGCTCTGTTTAGAGTGTTTGTGACGGATGTTTTTCACTGAACTCATGATCTGCCGCTCCTTCAGAAACGAAAGTGAAAGTGTTTAGTTGCTGTGTCGCCATTTTAAACAGACAGAATCCACCATTTACAACGCAGAACAGCTTTAAATCTTTAATGTCTGGACAAAACCTGTAAGCTTTATGTGAATGTGTGTATGCTGTTATTATAATCAAACGGATGACGCTGTGATTCTTCATTAGTTTACTCGTGATGAGCTTCTGGATTTGAGTGTCTCAGCTGCTGATCTATTCCTGCATTCAGCTGAATTATGAAGGCTGATCAATGACTGGAGATCTGTGATTGTTCATCAGTTTCTGCTGGAGATCAAACTCTTCAGGTCCATCATGGGTAACACACACACTGCTGGAGATCAGGATTTGTCTACAGGATGCAGGTATTAGTCCTACACTTGACATTTCATATGATTATTACTTTTAATTTAACCAAAATAATTTTCGATTTGTTCGTGGGTAGTTTTATTTTTATTTGATAACGTGACACAAACAGATAAAAATGAAATAAAGTGCTGTGTTAAGTGATTTTTAAATAATGACTGAATATCTGCTGTGTTGACTCCAGTGTGTGCAGCGCTGAACTTTAATCTTCTCTGTTTTAGTTCAGTTCATCAGAAGAGAGCAGAATCAGAGCCCAGCTGTGTGTCTATGAAGAGTGACGCGTCTATGATCCCACCAATAGCATTTAAGAGTGAAAACACACGACCTGCTGTCAGGTAGATCATCTCTACACACACATGATCACACTGCAGCATTTATATGATCCTGTGTTTCTAGAAGATCAGAAATTATTACACTTTATTCTCACAGTCCAGTCAGGACATTTTATTACAAGGAACAAAATACAGGAGACTTCAACACAGGGTTCAAGGCTAAGGATTTTTTTCTAGTGGCCCAATCGGGCCAGTGGTTCAGATTTGTACTTGCCCTGCCAAAATGTTCACTGGCCCCACCCAAAAAAAAAAGTAAATAGCTATTTCTTAGTGTCAAAAGCCAAACATAATCGTATACACACACTTTGTTTAGCATAACCTTTCTTTAAATACAACTGACAATTTAAAAATGATTTGTTTACAATTGATGAAACTAAACTTGGAAAAAAATCTACATCTATATTGTAAGCAAAAATGTGCACTTTAATTTTGACACCCACAGACATCGTCACCAAACATAAATCAGAGCGCTCAGACTTTCTCATGCATGGCCTCATTTCAGTTGTCAAGTTTTGTAAAAATCTGTCTATTAAATTAATTATTCTATTAAAAATGTGGGCTAGAATTATGCATTACAGGCTTACAATATAGAGAGAAATAACAGATGAAGCGGTGTTATGCCAAGAATTGCACCCCTGCCGTAAAGTGCACAGCCTCTGAAATGTGCATCTATTACCTTAAATTGATTTGAAAATAATAATAATAAAGTTATGACAACTAATGACAGTGACTGAGGTGAGCTCCATGGATGTAACCCTTACAGAAGATATGTTTAAATAAATAAATAGATTTAATTTAAATACTACACTGATTAGATTAAATAAAGTAAATTGTTTAGTTGAAAATGCCTAAGTTTAGAAATGGGCTCATTACATCAGTCTATAATACAGTCAATATTTAGTATTTTTCTTTATTTGTAAAACTAGTAATAAAATGAAGCCGGTTCTTGCTGGTCTGGGACTGTTCCTGTATTACTGTAGTTTGGTTCTGGATTAAATCTGTGTATTGTGTCTCAGCTGGTTCAGAGAAAACACACATGGCTTCACTAGAGGATCTTTACACTCACACTCATTGATTCTTTGTGTTGTTGTTGTTGCTGCAGTGTGGATGGAGATGATCAGACTGGAGACCTGCAGCAGGATTCACTCCAACCAGAACATGATGAACTTCAGAGAGTCAAAGAGCAGCACAAAACCAGCATGAAGAACAAGTATGAGAGATTATTTGAGGGAATCAACCATGGAGAGACTCAAACCCTCCTGAACAGCATCTACACACAGCTCTACATCATAGAAGGAGAGAGTGAAGGAGTGAATGAAGAACATGAGGTTTTACAGATGGAGAAAAGAGCCAGAACAAAACCCTCACAACACACTCCAGTCTACTGCAATGACATCTTTAAAGCCTCAGCTGGAGCAGGACATGAGGAGAAGATCAAGAAGGAGAAAGCCCAGATCAAGACTGTTCTCACTAAAGGCATCGCTGGAATCGGGAAAACCGTCTCTGTGCAGAAGTTCATTGTGGACTGGGCCGAGGGAAAAGACCATCAGGATGTAGATTTCATGTTTGTGCTTCCATTTCGAGAGCTGAACTTGATCAGAGATCATCAGTACAGTCTTCACAGACTTCTGCTGGACTTTCATCCTGAACTTGAAGATCTGGAGCCCAAGATTTATGAGCAGTGTAGAGTTGTGTTCATCTTTGATGGTCTGGATGAAAGCAGAATCACACTCAACTTTTCAGATGAGGAGAAAGTTTGTGCTGTGACTGAATCTTCATCAGTGGCTGTGTTGATGCGGAGCCTCCTGAAAGGAGATCTGCTTCCCTCTGCTCTCATCTGGATCACCTCCAGACCAGCAGCAGCCCATCAGATCCCCTCCAGACACATCAAGCGTCTGACAGAGATTCAGGGATTCACTGAGCCTCAGAAGGAGGAATATTTCAGGAAGAGAATCAGCGACGAGCATCAAGCCAGCAGAATCATCTCCCACATCAGAAGAGCAAGAAGCCTCCAGATCATGTGCCACATACCCGTCTTCTGCTGGATCTCCTCCACTGTGCTTCAGAAGCTCCTGGAAGAAGATGTGAGTGCAGAAATCCCTCAAACTCTGACTGAGATGTACATCCACTTCCTGCTGATTCAGATCAACATGAGGAAGCAGAAGTATGAAGAGAGAGATCCAGAGAAACTCCTGCAGTCCAACAGAGGAGTGATCCTCAAACTTGCTGAAGTGGCTTTCAGACAGCTGATGGAGGGCAATGTGATGTTCTATGAGGAGGACCTGATTGAGAGCGGCATAGACGTCACTGACGCCTCGGTGTATTCTGGGATCTGCACTGAGATCTTCAAGGAGGAATCTGTGATTCATCAGAGGAAAGTCTACAGCTTCATCCATCTCAGCTTTCAGGAGTTTCTGGCTGCTTTCTTTGTGTTTTACTGCCATTTAACAGAGAACAGAGAACAGCTGAGGGTGATTTATGATGAAGAAAATTCATATGATCAATATCTACAGTCCAGCTCTGAGAAGTCTCTGTATGTTCTGCTCAGTTCAGCAGTAGTTAAAGCTGTCAGGAGTAGTAATGGTCATCTGGATCTGTTCCTGCGGTTCCTGTTGGGCGTCTCACTGGAGTCCAATCAGAGACTCTTCCAGGATCTGCTGACACACACAGAGGAGAACTCAGAGAGCATCAGGAGAATCACACAGCACATTAAAGACATTATCAAGAGAGATAACCCTCTCTCAGCTGAAAGATCCATCAATCTGTTCCTCTGTCTGCTGGAGGTGAAAGATCAGACACTGGCCAGAGAGATTCAGGAGTTTGTGAAATCAGACAAACACTCAGAGGAGGAACTCTCTCCTGCTCACTGCTCAGCAATCTCCTACATGATTGAGATGTCAGAGGAGCCGCTGGATGAGTTAGACTCTAATAAATTCAACACAGATGATGAGGGAAGACGGAGACTGACAGCAGCTGTGAGAAACTGCAGAAGAGCTCTGTGAGTATTCATTGATTGATCACAGAAGACACACATCAGTCTGCACTGAAGACTCAGATCAGTTTAGTGAATCACTGCCCTGCTTTAACAGAAAATCTTTAGCTGGCCATATCGTCCCCCTGTGAGATCGCTGATACACCATATTACTGCATGGGGACGCGGCGGCAGTGTTCTGTTTCCTTATTTGCTCATTTATTTCAGCATTTCTAAACGTATTTAACAAACTTTTCTTGACTTTTTACTCACACAAACAACATTTGTACTTATTTAATAATCTACTTCATTTGCTTTACAGTTTATCCTGGAAAATAACTCAAATCCCTGTAAATCCCTGTGCTCCTCCAGCTGAATAGGACATTTGTTGATGTGTATTTGCTCAAATCTAACACAGTGTTGCTCTTGGATAATTGTGTTTGTTTTCTGATCAGAGAAATAGTGTAATTTTAGACACAGTATTGCCGTCTCGCCGCAGACATGCCTCTAATATTACATTTACTGTAGGCCTAAACACTAAACTTTACACTGAGCTCAGTAAAATGCTCTCTGATTAGTTATTAATAATCTGTTCAATAATTCAGTACAGTCATATGAATGGGGAAATACAGGTTTAGTTTAATGTAGATTCAATCAATAAAAATAAAAAGATATTTCTAAATGAATTAAACAGGCTTGTTCTGAGGCATGAGGGTGGTATGAGGGCCCGATGTCCACAGGTGGGGGTTGCAGCCTAACACCATGGTACAACACCATGAGGTAGCCTGACTGCCATTAGGTACTGAGATGAGATCCTCAGACCCTTGTGAGACCATGTACGGTCTGGTTGACCCTGGATTCCTCCTAATGCAAGACAATGCTGGACCTCATGTGTCTGGAGTGTGTCAGTAATTCCTGCAATTCACTACAGTTTTGAGTGTGACTCCTAATCCAGTCCTCCATGGGTTAATACATTTGATTTCCAGTGATCATGTCTGTGTGATTTTGTTGTCAGCACATTCAACTGTGTAAAGAACAAAGTATTTAATAAGAATATTTCATTCATTCAGATCTAGGATGTGTTATTTTAGTGTTCCCTTTATTGTTTGAGCAGTATATATATATAGTTTATTTCCAGTGTTGCTTTCATCACTGTAGACTGAACTCATGAACACTCAACACTGCTCATTTCTTACTGCTGATTGTGTTGCTCTTTGTCCTCTACACAGGCTACAGCGCTGTAAACTCACTGTTCAGTGCTGTGAGAGTTTGTCTTCAGCTCTACAATCCTCAAACTGTGTGCTGAGAGAGCTGGACCTGAGTAACAATGACCTGCAGGATTCAGGAGTGAAGCTTCTCTCTGATGGACTGAAGAGTCAACACTGTAAACTGGACACACTGAGGTAAATGATTCTCCACTCTACAACATTAAAAGTGTTTTGATTGAGATGGAAATGTCCAGATATATTTAAGAGCATTAGTGGAGAAACTGCAAAATGCTGCTTCTCAAATGAAAGTTGCTCTTTTTCTTAATCAGTTCAGGAAATCAGTGTATTTTAATGATGATTTTATTTAATTACCTCTAAATCTTTATTTATATTTAATATTTTAATGATTATATTTATAGTTTATTTTTAAATTGGTTTATTGGAAAGATATATTTAGGAATTTGTCAGATGTTTTGGTCATTCTGACAAAAAAAAAAAAAAATGAAACGGGAGAAGCAATGTGGATGAGGTCTGAGGAGGTTTCTGGACCCGGCAGCAGGTTTGACAGGCTCTGGTCATTTGCATTTTGCAGGTTCATAAATATATAAAGTCTCGTGTTCCTCTTATCTGAACTAACATTTTGCGTTTTTTTTTTACATTAAACATGTTCAGGAATATATTGGATGACATTTAATATTCAGTTTTATTAAATAACAATAGTCAATAATTCTAACTGACACAAATTCCAATAGTTTAGTCATATTATTAACCTCATAGTTTGATTTTTACATCAGATGAATGACTGAAATCACACTGTTAATGTAATCTGTGTTCTTCTTTCTCAGATTGGTCATGTGTAATCTCACTGTTCAGTGCTGTGAGAGTTTGTCTTCAGCTCTACAATCCTCAAACTGTGTGCTGAGAGAGCTGGACCTGAGTAACAATGAGCTGCAGGATTCAGGAGTGAAGCTTCTCTCTGATGGACTGAAGAGTCAACACTGTAAACTGGACACACTGAGGTAAATGATTCTCCACTCTACAATAACTACAGTCAGACAGTTTCATATTAGAGCTCTTCATGCTTGAACATGTTAACCCTGGGTGATACTAAACCCCAGATAACAGGAGTTCTGGTTTATCAGTGATTGTGTTTCACACTGCTCATACTATACCTGTAGTTAACCCTCAGGGGTCTGAGGTGATTTTGGGACCCCTGAGATGTTTTGACATGCCCTGACATCTGTGCTGATTTCAGCTGCTTATTACACAGAACTGGCCAACATGTGTTTTATTAGTGTTCAGCACAAACTGAGCTACAATAATATGTGAGAAATATTGATGTACATGCTTGTGTTTTTTAGAAAACAAATATTATGTGTGGTTAGTAGGTTTTAGAGGAAAAAACCAGACTGAATGTGCCTGAACAAGAGTTTAGAGTAAGCAGTCTTGTAGACTAGAATATTTACTGCAAAATTATGTGAAATTATTCTGTTCTCTCATTCAGAGAAAACATTACAATGATCTACATTTTGTTAAGTGTGTTTTGGCTGATCTCAGCTGTATGTGTGAGTGACAATGCTCATGAATAATTCACACCTGAGAGACAACAGACACTCCCCCACTCACCCATCAAGGGCAGTGTACAGCAATGTCCATCTGCAGAAGCTAGCCCAAACTCAATGCTTGTTGTGTTACTGCTGTGTGACCATGTAAACACTCTGGGTGAACAATATACAGTGCTCAGCATATATAAGTACAGCCCTCACTAATCTCTCTTTTACATTCATATTTTAATAGGAAGCTCTACAGTATTATATTTGTGCATATACAATAGATTAGCCAAATCTGGAGCTCATCTAACAAAATAACTCATAATTACGGTGTAAAAACTAGCACACTCAAACGTATATGTTATAGAAAAATATTAAATACAAAATTAAAAAAGAGGAAAAATCAAGAGAAGCAAAACTATGGAAAAATTTTTTTTGCAATATTAGCTTAAGTTTAATTGTATTATCTTTCAATTTCTGAATATGTTTAGTGACTAAAATATGATGTTCATGAATAAATCAGTTTAATAAATGTGTTCTGTTTAAATGCAGCAGAATACACTGCCTATATTGACTGAGAAATGGAGGAAAGTCTTGGTTTTCAGAATGGGCTGTCCTCCATTATGCTGAGCGCTGTATGTGACTTATACAGCCGCACATATAATATATATTTGAAATGGTGTAAAACGTGTTCGCCAAACTCTCTTGTGCATTAATCCAGCATTTAATAATCATTTCTGAATGAGTCTGAGACACTGAAGTAGAGGAATGACAAACGCTTTAAACACAAGAATAAATCAGATTTAAACATGAAAAACAATTACTGTAAATCTAAATCATATTTGAAGAGCTTTAATATAGATTTCACTAATAGTTGCAGTCTCAGTTCACTGTTTGAAAACTTTACCAGGTTGTGTCTGTCTGTGGGTGTCAACATTCAACATTTCTGTGTGAAAGTGAAGCGCAGCGAGAACACAAATAAACATTATAGCAGTGTTAATCCTGTTTCAGAGCAGAACAGTGGATCTGGAGGTGTGAAAGCAGCAGAGTTAAACGCTAAAGTCAAGCTGTTTTGTGTCCTGCTGAAGGTTTGAGCTGCTCTCATATTTGTGCAGTTTCAGTTTCTTGAAAACAAATAAAAGTCTCATGATAAAGTGTGTGAAATAATCCTGATTACTCGCTCATCTAAAACAATATCTGCTAAAGGCTGAATGTGAAGGAGAGTCAGCAGTCATGAATATTGATCAGCTGTTTCTCTCCTGACAGAATAAAAGTCCCCTAATGGAGCATCAGTGTGAATGTGACTGTGGGTCAGGTGATGAACACATGAAGAGAGCGGCTTTGTGTTTGTCTGAGCTCATTTTGTTTTAGTCCACAACAGAATCACAATATAAATGATGAAATCAGCTCATTTCCTGTTGTGTTTTATACATGACTTTAAGATGATCTTCTGAGCTCAAGTGTGTCTTCTTCCTCCTCACAGCAGACTTTACAGCTTGATGTGGTGTATTATGAACAATGTCTTTGCTCTGTACACTTCTACAGATGATGTCGAGTCCTTGTTGAGTGAGTGTGTGTGTGTGTTTGCTGATGTGATCAATAAGGAGAGCTGATCAGGATGTGTGTGTTCATCACTGCTGTTGACATGAGCAGAAACAGCAGTCAGCATCTTCACAACACAAAGAGATGTGTGATTGTCCAACTGTGTGATGTGGACTATTGCTGTGTTTGTAGATTGTCTGGCTGTATGGTGACAGAGGAAGGCTGTGGTTTTCTGTCTTCAGCTCTGACTTCAAACCCCTCACACCTGAGAGAGCTGGATCTGAGCTACAATCATCCAGGAGATTCAGGAGTCAAGCTGCTCTCTGAACAACTGGAGGATCCAAACTACACACTGGACAAACTCAAGTATGTGGAGCAGCACTGCCTTTTTTATTGTGAATACAGATACTTTGATACTTCACTGCTCTTCTAGTGTCCAGATATGAATCAAAGCTGTTAAATATGTCAGTGCACTGGGGCAGTTCTCACATTAAGCGTGATATTATATCTCATATTAACACTGTACAGTTTCAGCATTGTAGTTGAGCAGTGAAACTTGTTCTCTACATTTCTGCTGAAGAACTGTACAGTATCAGCTCAGAGATGTGTGTGTACTGTTCTCCAAATACGTCCTGTGTATACTTTAACAGCAAGTTAAACTCTCCCTCATGAACTTCACAGACACAGAATGTCCTTTATCACACTTTAATAAGGGCGGAGTAAAACTATAAACAGGAAGAAAATAAACAATATCAATTTACATTCACAATGTGGACATAACAAAGATGTTTCTGGCAAATATCTGACATATCTTGTAATCTGGCTCTTTTCTGCTTCTAAACTAACATGAACACAAAATATCAGGCAATAAAAGTGATCAGCAGACAGTGATGCTGGTTCTGATATAGTCCAGTGACAATCACATGTTGAACAAACTCAAATAAAGCAAATGACAAAAAACTCCTAAACTAATCCTTTATAACTGAAGTATTATGAACAATAAACAGAACACAAACCCACCAAGCTTCCAAAGGGCGAGGAGGACTGCAGATTGGTCTGGATTCACTGCTCTCCAACTTAGCAATGTTTGGAGATGATGAAGAGGCATTTGACAGAAGATGAAGATCTCCATCATATTTCAAGTCATTTAACACTGAATTCTGCTTTATTATTGTGCTGCGCTTTTGTCAATTGATCATTGAATGAATCCTTCAGTCTTTATATCTGTCTGTTTCTGTGTTTCCATTCTGTTTTCTGTTTCCACATCTGATCTAAAAGCTCTGTGTGTCATTCAGAAGCTGATTTGACAGCTCCACACACACTCATGTTGTTTTACTGCAGTTATTAATGCACTGAGATCAGCCAATCACAATCCAGCATTCAGCACACACTCCACATGTCTTATAGTGTGTGTGTGTGTGTGTGTGT